GAAGAAGAGCATATTCAAACAGCGTGTAAATTGCCTACTTTTATTCCCCCCCCCCCCTCCTCCCCCCCCAAGCTAATAAGCCTTAGAATTGCTTCTCAACTAGTGCTGAAGAAGAGCATATTCAAACAGCGTGTAAATTGCCTACTATAGCTGTCAGGACCTTGGAAGGGTTTTATAAGCCTCAAAAGATTATTTGGGGTTGAAAAACTCTTGAAAAGACCATGCAACCTCACTGTTACGGCTTTTGAAACTTGTTTACATTGGAAAGTGAGTGTTGGCATAAATAGCTGCCATCCAGTGTACAAGCAATTCTCAATGAAGAAGAAAACAGTTGTAAGAAAAACCCTTGGTGGTGCAGAGGAGTATCATAGGCCAGTGACTAAGACAACAAGAAAAGATTCCACATTAGTCTTTTTCACAGTGTGCTCTGGGAAGGCAGGTAGCAAAGGTGACTGTTGTTGCTGGCTGCATAAAACAGTACTTTGATCTTGAGGCTCTGTTGATTCAAATGCTGTATTTTTTTGTCTCCAAAGTTTTTGATATGCCTGTTGTCAGGGACTCCCAGCTAGTGAGCTGCTGTTGGATAAAGTGATACTGTCTTAGCTTTCTGATCACAAGCAGGTAATTTAAACTTGGAGACTTATACATGCAGACAGTAGGTCACTGTGGGTATTACTAATGCTAAATTTGCTCTTACTGCACTCAGTCTTATGAAAGATATGGCTTGGCAGGTATTGGCTCTCAATGCAGTAGTTGGGGTTAGAACTCAGATTAAATAAATATTTGTGACTGATCCAACAACTCCACATGGGAGAGTGCATTGAAGGCTTTTCAGGGTTTTTGGAGCCATGACTAAAGGTTTAGTAAGTAGGAAAAAAGTCTGTGCGGACATTCATTTCTTCCCATTGCCTCATTGTTCCTCTTTGTCCAAGGGATGGCAGTAGCTTAAGACTAATCCATCCCCATCTGGCTCTGACCATAATATTCTAATTTCAATATGCATTACAATAACGAGTTTACAGAATGGCTTAGCACAGTATGAGCAGTCTTGTGGAGAGATAACCTCTTATCTAAAGCCTTGTTTTTGGAATTGGAATTTCAGAGAACTTTTCCTGCCAAAATAAAAAAGAATGGCAGAAAAGATAAGTTTTTAGGGTTTGCAGGCCCTGTGTTTATTTGCTTGGTGCCCTTGGTTCTTGATGAAGCTTCTTTTTTAAAGACAGTGATAGTTAAGATGATGATGTGTGTTATCTTATTAGTTCCCTGGTAGAAAAATTTGATGAGGGCCATTACTTCGAGAAAATGTATTTTTGGCAAGCTTAGTTCTGCATAGTTTGTAGGTGCCAGGTACAAGGGATAGTGGGGGAGTTGCTCTGAAATGTGTTTAACTTTAATCCTTGCAGTCTGGTAACTTGAGTAAATAGTGTAGAGTACTTTTTGATAACAAAAAGTAAACAGAGGTGATATCACACCTTTCTTTAAAGGAGTTCTACTTTGTGTTCAGGCACATTAGTCTCTTGTTTAAAACTTACCACTTAGAAAATAAACTGAAATGTCAGGAAGTTGTTATGTAAATATGAAGTCTTTCTGTAGGCTGCTTACTTCTTTGCTTACTTTGTGGCTAGGATTAATGGGCATTGTCTATTAAAATAAATGCTTACCTTAGCAAATCTTACATTATACTAAAAATACATGCCACGAACACTTTAGCTGTATCAAGTATTTTATCCCTGAGGAATCTTCATGTCTTGGATATAAAATAATTTTGTCATATAACATTAATTTAAGAGCTGGCTACCTTAATGGGTGCTTCATGACTCCTAGGCAGAAGGATGGGGGAATGAGCATCCTTTCTTTGTGTATGTGTTCATTTGGCTATATATGTGTTCTGTTGGAATAGCCAAGCTATTATTTCAATACAAATGACCACATCTTGAGTGCTCTAACTTACTCTTTACAGATACCTTGCAAGATTAGCAAGTAACTGTACCCTGTTACCCATGATGAAAGATTGTCAGAGTATTTGTCTCTTAACCAAGTGTTCTGAATGGTTTTATTTAGCATCCTCCCACATAGGTCAGTTATCCGAGCAATTGTAAATTGGACATACGAACTATCACTTTAGATTGTTTTCATCTCACAAGAGACAAAACACTACAAGTGTCCAAATATGAGCATCAGAAGATAAGCACATGCATACCTCAGCTCTGAGGAATCCTGGAAGTAATTTTTTTTGCTCTTTATTATGGGTGTCAGCTGTGTAGAAAGCTGGGTTCTTTTTCCTTCATAACTTGCAACTGGATTTCTTCAGTGTTTGGTCAAGTCATAAACAGTTTCAAGATGAAATACCATTGATTTAGGGAGAAAGTAGGAGGAATGCTGTGGGTTTCCATGGGACTTCTTGCGGCCTGGTAGCAGAGTTGTTCAGGAAGCTGCAAGCAATCTAGTGGAACAGAAAACTTGTCTGTCACCTTTAGAACTGGTAGATTCAGTGTCAAGTATTTGTGTTTTCAAGGCATTTCAAGTTAATTCACGACTGCCAGTTTCCATTAATATGTTACCTTTCAAACTTTATCATCAAGAATTACTGGCTTGGGATTTGGAAGTGTTGCCTGTTGTCTCCTTTCTTCTCCTTTTTCAGTCTCGCTGCTGGTTTGTTTTTCAATGGCTTCTCCATGAATTTGTGGTTCTAGTAGGACAGGACAGCGTTCTGCCAGTATTGAGTAAAACACAAAACTCAGTATCTGGCTTGGTAAAGTATACATTCTTTCTTCAGATTCTGGGTTCTTTCTTGGCGTGAAGTTAGTATTATAACGTATTTGCAAACATGCATTCAAAGTTAAGGGTCTTGCTACCTGTTAAAAGACTTGCTTTATAAATAAATCCTTCTTAACCATGTTTGAGAATATTACTGTTATGTCCTTGGCTCAAAAGCAAAGGAACTGTTACTGTTGTGTTGGCTGCAGTATGGTTATTGGGTAACTCAAACAGAGCCTCTGAGCTAGGGTTACATCATACAGCCAGCAGTTGTGCTTGCACGAACTGGACAGCCTGAACCCACAGCTGCAAAGGGGAGCAGGACACCAGGGCTGCTGAAAAAGGAATCTCCAGTTGCTCTGAGAATATAGCTGTATTTCTGGCTTCTTCTGCAATTATAATGGGATTTTTGGCAAGCAGATGATTCATAGGGTGGGGTTCTGATATCCCTTTTGCTGTCCAAGATGAGATACGTGTTTTATGGCTCCAAGCTGCAGAGGTACCTGACTGTGTGACACCCAAAGTAAGGAAAGCTGGTCAGGCCTGCAACAGCTACAGTAATCCAGGTATTGCTTGTTCAGTACAATTACATCATTGACTTTTCATCCTGTTTCTGAATATTAAGTAAATGTGGGATCTTCACCTAAAGAACCAGCCTGATGTTACTTTCCTGTGCTTAATCTTACTTAGTGAAAATAGGTCCTTTCCTCCCTGACCCTGCTTTACTGGACCTTAGGTGTGCAAACCAGCTTGAGAGGCATTTCCAACTTCGAAGTTGGGACTGAGCTGCCCTAGATAAACGTTATGAAAGGAACTAAACTTAAGCCTGTGAGTGAAGAGTCACCGATCGTATAGTGAGATTGGACTACTGCAAACTGAGCTAATAGAGAGAGGCCTTGTGTGAGAATGTCTGATTTTTTAATTATTTTTTTAATTTCTTTTTAATGGTAGCAAAACATAACTTGTGTTGACAGCTACTTAAAAAAACAACTCCTGGAGCCGTAGTCTTAGCCATAACCTGAGGAGGTACGTTAGGTGCTTAAGACCAGACCTGCTGAAGTATTCTCTAAATCCTCAAGTAATTCAGCTGTAAGGGGTTAGGTGTCTTTATTTCAGGTCACCCTGGGAGGTGTGCACTTTCTGTGAACAGCATCCCTTCTGTAGCTAACAGCTGGCTGAGTCTGCATAAATTTACCCTTCTAAGAGCAGTTACTAATGTTATGTCTTCGAAAAAATTTATCTCATAGGGAAAAATGGAACCTACATTAGTTGAACAGGATGTTTGGAGTGATTCCAGTGGCTAATGGGAACTTAATTGAAAGCTACTCATGTGAAAGCAAGAACGAATCTAAGGGGAAAATTAATTTAAAAAGCTCCTTATTGCTCAGTTTATGTTGTATGTCATTAAATCATTGTATAGCCTGGGAGCTCAGTTTCCCAGTGCTAGGAGTGCCAGCTTTATTACTATTCCTTCAACAAAAATGCAGATTCTTAGCTCTGAAAAACCTGGCTCTAATGAGAATACACTTATTGATGGGCTTGCTTTTTCCTCTTGTCTCCTCAGGGAAAAATACATCTCCTGTTTATAGCTAAAGTTAAAGTGGTGTGTTGGGACTTCAGATATGAGACTCTTGATCCCATCTTTATTAAGAGAAAGATAGATTTGAAAACCTTTGCTAGAATTGCAGATGTACCATTTAAAACTTACGGATCCTTTTGCATTTAAGGGACTTGCCATACAGTTTCTGGAGTGTTACCGGAATCATTTTAGGTGGTGTTTGGTCAGTGTGTTTTCCCTTCTCACTGTATGCTGAAATTCCTCAAAGGGAAAGGGAAGAACACTTGAAGCTTATACTAGTAATTTCAGTGTCTTCATGAATTTATTTCTGGATTGCTGGCTAAACCAGTGTACTTTTCCAACAAGGAGAAGCTTTTTATTTTAAAATTTAATTTCTATCTGTTGTTAGTTTAAGGTAAAAATGAGGGATTTTCAAAAAATGTTTAGCAAGCTGAGTCTTATAAAGGAAACTATTTTACCTACTGATTGTTCCTACATTTCTCTTAGCTCCCTGGTTATGTCATATCAGCTGAATAACTCTTTTAGTACTTTCTAGTCCTAACCAGGTGTACTAAGCAGAATGAATTGAGTAGGCTTTCATTCTTTAAATTGCCTTCTAGCTTCAACTGAAAATACTGATACAAGGAGATTCTGATGCTTAACTAATATCCCTTATTACAGGGGGAAGATTCTCTTTAACGTGATTACTTACTAGTAATAGTTCCTCATCATGGCTGAACTATCGCCTGAAGAAATCCAGCTGAGGGCCAACCAGGTCACCGATGAGGTAATTGTTACAAGAAGCCATCTGGGATTAAACTACTTATCTGCCAAGGTTACAGTATCTTTTAAAAATTAAGTCAATCTAGGGTAGTGACTCTGCAAGGGTATAGTTGAATGTTTCAGACTCTCACTTTACTTGGTAAATACTGGGGTGAAGACTTCTAACAATAAGAATTAATTACAACTTGTGAATTATAAAGCCACCTCCCTGACATATGAGTACATATGATGCAGCCATGATTACTGAGACAATGCAGGCTGAGTACCTACACTGTTCTTAATCCATGTTGATACTTCATGACTTATTTTAACTAAAGTTCATTTGAATATGTTTTCTTTTATGACTTTCCAATGGGATAAGTAAAGTACTAAAAAACAAGTACTAAAAACTAAGGGCTTACTAGCTATTGAAAAAAAAATCCAGTATGCTGCTACTATGACTGATGTGGAATGTATTACACAGCGACAGCCTCATGAACCTTTGTATACTAATTGCTTTACTGTAATGAACTGGTGAAGAGGACTTTGGGACACCGATGTACTGTTAACACACTCATATTAAAATTCTCTTTCTAGTCGTTGGAAAGCACAAGGAGGATTCTTGGCCTGGCCATTGAGGTAAGGAAACACTTGAATTCCCTGAGGATTTATTAATTTAAGTATAAGAGGCAGCATGTTAACTATCACAAAGTGATCTTTATCACTTTTTTGTCTTTCTCAAAGTTTTGACACACCTGTCATTATTACAAGTTGCTTCTTTAATTCAGCAGTAGAGTTGGAATGAGTTAGACTTTGTTTTTCACATTATCTAAAGTCACATCACAGAAGGACCAATAAATATCCTTTCTACCTGTTTTCCTCTTAAGCAAAATGGCCTAATCCAAATGCTACAGATCAGTTATAAAAAGACTTCTGCAGTGGCCGGTTATGCCTTTGGCTGCTGCATCATTTGATTCACATAATATTTTCCATTTGTCTTTTAACTCCCTTTGCCTGTGAACAGTGTGAAAATGTCTTGCTTTGAGGAAGAGGGTAGGGCTCAGTTGGGTGGGGTAGTGGGAGTGTAGGGCTGCTTTTGGTTTTAAACAAAGGCAGCTCTACATACACCTTACAATCTGCTGATAAGTGAACTTTAAAGATAGGTATGATGATGAAACTCTTAACACCTTTGTACATGACTTGGAACAAATCTGTATTTTGAGTTTATGTGACATTGCATGAGGAATCTATTCCTTTACTCTGTTACGGTGTGCATACCCCATTCTAAAAATGACAAAGGTTATTTTTGATACTGTCATTTCAAAACATAGAGAGCATCCTGTTGGTAGGGAGTAAGATAAGGTTGATGGTCAGCTCTGCTAAAACAGAGCTTAACTGGTTCAGCAAGATGGTTTTGCTAGTACGTGGATATACCATAGACAGATGGAATCCAGACACTAAGCAGAGACGAAGCTAATGCTCGGACTTCAAGTGCCGAAGACTTGAGACATTTTGTTGTCAGTGTAAGAATGCACACAAAAAAAATCCAGTAAATAAGAACCCTGAAGTGATTGGTCACTACTGCTTTAAAGCCAGTACTCACTGTCTGGGTGGTAGCTGTTTGCTGTGGAACTGAAGATGCTATGTTATCAGTGAGGCATTTGAATCAGCATAATGAATACCTCTCAAACACAAACATTAAGAACATGTAATGAGCCAACATGATTTCTCTTGGTATCATGGTTTGGAGATTTATAGAAACTAAAATAACTCCTACCATGGACAGTCCTATGCTGCCAGCTTACAGTAAAGCATGAGTGCAACTTGTGTGCTAGATTCAAGCCAGTAGAGCCCTGCAGTGGTATATTCCTCACTGCTGATTTCATTTGCTTTGTTCTAAAACTAGTGATGGGCTACTCTCTTCCTGATCTCTTCTGCTGAGTTCTCAGGAATGGTTTTGCAGGCTTTGTTTTGGTTTCTTTTATTCTGCCTTCCAAGGACTAAAGGCTGTGTTAGCCCTATTGAAGGGTGTAGGGATAAAGAATAAATTTAAGTGCCACACTTCAAAATATGGCACAGCTAGGTTTACTTTTTTAGTTTGGTATTGTTGTAGTTCAGTCTGAGTATTACAAGGGCATGTTGGTTGATGAGAAGCTTGACACGAGCCGGCTTCAGTGTGCGCTTGCAGCCCAGAAACTACTCATATCCGGGGCTGCATGAAAAGAAGCGTGACCAGCAGGTCAAAGGAGGTGATCCTGCCCCTCTACTCTGCTCTTGTGAGACCTCACTTGCAGTATTGTGTACAGTTCTGGTGTCCTCAACATAAAAAGGATGTGGAGCTGCTGGAGCAAGTCCAGAGGAGGCCACGAGGATGATAAGAGGGCTGGAGCACCTCCCGTATGAAGACAGGCTGAGAAAGTTGGGCCTGTTCAGCCTGGAGAAGACTGCATGGAGACCTCATAGCAGCCTTCCAGTATCTGAGAGGGGCCTGTGAGGATGCTGGGGAGGGACTCTTTGTTAGGGACTCTAGTAGTAGGACAAGGGGTAATGTGTTTAAACTTAAACAGGGGAAGTTTAGATTAGATAAAAGGAAGAAGTTCTTCACAGTGAGGATGGTGAGGCCCTGGAATGGGTTGCCCAAGGAAGTTGTGAATGCTCCATCCCTGGCAGTGTTCAAGGCCAGATTGGACAGAGCCTTGGGTGACATGGTCTAGTGTGTGGTGTCCCTACTCATGGCAAGGGGAGTTGGAACTAGATGATCTTAAGGTCCTTTCCAACCCAAACCATTCTATCATTCTATGTAGTGACAGGACAAGGGGTAATGGCTCTAAACTGAGAAAGGGTAGATTTAGATTAATGTTAGGAATAAATTCTTCCCTGTGAGGGTGGTAAGACACTGGCACAGGCTGCCCGGAGAAATTGTGGCTGCTCAGTCCCTGGCAGTGTTCAAGGTCAGGTTGGATGGGGTTTGGTGCAATCTGGTCTAGTGAGAGGTGTCCTTGCCCATGGCAGGGGGGTTGGGGATAGATGATCTTTCAGATTGCTTCCAACTCAAACAAGTCTGATCTCATTGTAATGTTAAAATAATTAAAAATATCTAAACAAACATAAACCACCACAACCAAACAAAACCAACCCCTTCCCTCCCCCCACCCAAAAAAACACCACCCAACAAACCCAAACCAAAACCCAAAACCCAAAAAACCAAACCAACATACAACAAACACACTAGGCAAGATTATCATCAGCCTACCATAGGATCCGTTTGAAACTTAGCATAGCTTTATTACAATAAAGTAGTAGTAAATAATAAAACACTAGCAGTGTTTTATTATTAACTTGATTGGCGTATCAGATTTCCTATAGAGACCTGATTTTGTGTTGCTGTGTTAAAATCTGGCTTTATATCTGAAAATTCTTTCTGCAGTCTCATGATGCTGGCATCAGAACTATCACCATGCTGGATGAACAGGGAGGTGAGTTCTTCCTTCTTCCTCTCCAACACTAGAAAAACACCAATTTTATGACTGTGAGAAAAAACATTATCATTCAGGCATTGTTGCTGAAACTAAAGGCTTATTAAACAGTACTTATATGAGAATGAGATTTGCTTGTTTGTTATTCTGATATGTTTGTGGTAGTTAAGAGGTTTTAAAGTAGTTGAGAGACCATGTTAGTTATAATGTAATACAGCTCTGCTACAGATGCTCTTCTTCCCACCATAGCATGAATGTAACTACATTTATTCTAAAAGCAGCAACAGAAGTGCTTCTTTAAGGATAGAGAAAATATTTTTAATGTAGTAAACAAAACTTATCATTGAATATCTTCCAGTGATAAAAATAAACTAAAAAGTTAAAAAAATCCTAGAAGGCAGGAAAGACAAAAGTATGAAGATAGAACTGAAACTTCCTGCTTGAAGGAAATGTTAATTTCCCCCAACTCATGTTTATTCAGGTTACTTGTTTCTTTTCTAGAACAACTGAATCGCATAGAAGAAGGCATGGACCAGATAAATAAGGATATGAGAGAAGCTGAGAAGACACTGACAGAGCTCAATAAATGTTGTGGGCTCTGTGTCTGTCCTTGTAACAGGTAATTGGGTCTGAAGTTCTAGAATGTCCCCAATAGCTACCCTACTGGGAGATGGTGTCTAATAAAAGAGCTTATTGAAACATACTGACTCTCTAGAGAGGTCAGCTGTTTTGGTTTGTAGAGGTTCACCCTTTTAAAATTGTGGGATGCTAGCTAAAGCTTACTTGCATATAACCATGTATTGTCCCCCTTTCATTGTAAATATAGCTGCTGTGTAACATCCTGCACAATTCTGCCTTAATCTCCTCTAAAGCTTATATTTGGCAAAATACTATCAATCTCCATACAGGTGAGACTAAACTGGACTGCGAATAGCTATATGTAAGTGCCTGCCTGTGTTAAAAATTTGACTCCAAAAATACTTTTTCACAAAAGTACTTTTGTACTAAGTTAAAAGCAGGAAAACTTCTGTTTTGAATAAGGAAAGTAATGTTGGTTCTCTAGGCACTTCAAAAATGTCCATGCTTTAGGCAGGAAGAGTAGGAGAACACACATCGATGTTAAAGCTTTAATCTTTCACTAGTGACTGTATAAATTCTTGCACCCTGCTTAACAGTACCTCTAGAACATCAGTGTTCTGGTTACCATAATCAAGTCAGTTAAGAGTGTCTTTTGATTGGCACTTATTTAGTCGTTTAGAGATACAAATCAGCCTAAACAATTCAGAAATAAGTGTCATAAGAAAAACAATGATTTTTTTTTGGAGGTGTGCTAGCTTTATCTAAGCAGCAAAGTATGGAATTGATTTGTGAGAATTAAATGTGATCACAGTTCTTCCAAGTGAAGAAGATACAAGTTCTTTTAAGAGTGTGACCACTGAAGTGAATAGTGTGTGTGTTCATTTTTAGCTCTTTAGTGTGAGGGAAAAAATCCAAAACCCAGCTATCATTCAACTGAGAGGTAGCATAAACTTAGGTAAATATTCCTTGGAATAGCTGAGTCTGCTTATCCAGCAGACTAATACTTTGAGGATCATTGAGGATAGGTATGTGTGGCTTCTAAGGCTGAAAGTCATAGAGCTTTAGTACTTGGAAAATGCAGATGGTTCTGTCCTTACCTCTAGATAGGTGTGCTTACTGATCTATATTAGTTTTATCAATCTAATGGACTTTGAGCGTTTTGACACTTTCACTCTTTGTTTTCTGTAGTTAGTCTTATTTCTCCGAAGCTAAGCAGCTTATTGACACTGAGCAAGCTCAGAGTTTGTGAACGCTTGTGGCAGTCTTTTGGTGTACACATATTACAGTAAAAGAAATAATGAGTTGTGTATCAAAATAGGCAGTAATGTGCAAAAAAATCTACTAGGCAAGTAGAGGGCAAAGAGGAAGAAACTTTGAATGCCTTTCATATATCTGGGGCATTGGGTTTTCTGTCAATGTTGGAGTTGTTTGTCAACCAGTTATCTCTAAAGCATTTCATTTGTTTTCATAAAGCATGAAGCTGAACCAGAATGCTTGCTGAATTAAATAGTGCTTATCTTATTTCTTCTAGGCTTAGATTATGTATAAAAGCTTTGTGAAAACAAAATACTGGCAGCACTCTAATATAATCTATGTACTAATAACTGTTTTCCAGTTTGCTGGTCTTTACTATTCTTTCTTTTCCATTCTCTCCTAACACTGATGCTTGCTTTCTAAAAATGAAGACTAGGATAAGAAGCTGTATTCACTTAACTGGTGAAAACGGATTTTAGGACAAGGTCAGTCTTACTAGTGCAGATGTACATTTAACCAGCTGTCTGAAGTGATGCTTCTATTGGATTTGTGTTTGCATGTGTATGATGTCTGCATGCAGGTCTCATTGTGACTGTGGTGTGTTGTAATACTGATGTGAATAGAAAATGTCAATTACTACAGAGCGCATTACCAGTGGGAATGTTGAACAACTGCTTGAGGCCTTGCTAGCTTGACAGGTTTTGTGAATTGCCTTATGCTTATGGAAATACGAGACAAGTGAATATATAGTAATTTGAAAAATAGCTCTTAAAAATCAGATGGTGAGAAGCTTTGTTCTTAACTGCTTAGTTTGAGCAGCAGTTCTGTTTCTAGCTGTGTACTTATGTGCAAGTAGTTTTCAGGCCACTTGTTTTTGTTCAATAAATTCCTCAGTTACCTCTGGCACCTAAGACTTTGCTAATCCAGAAGCCAAGCACACAAAGCTCTCCTGCTATAAAAATCTCCTACTTAAAGAGATCTTTAAGCCTGTGTATGCACAGGGAGCTAGAATTGACTAGTTTAGGTTTCTTTAGAGTTCCTCTAGGTGTAACAATTCCATTTCTTTCCCTTGATGTATTCATACTAGATTACTTCTTATAGAATCTGACCTATGAAACACAATTTCCCTTTTCAATTACATAAATGCCAGCAGAATGAGGGGAATTTTTAATTACAGCTACAGTTAATTACATTGACACTTCTTCAAATGTGAAATGTCTGGGCTGTTGAAAGGCACTACAAAGAAATCCATCACCTGTAATTGTGAACTTAGATGTACTGAAAGACACTACAGATTTCCCCTCACAGGCTTTTTAAAGAAGCAGAAAAGTGGCAGTGGAGTCTGGATTATCAAGCTTAAACCTGAAAATGCCAGCAAACAAGATGAACATGAGAACATTCTTCTCAAAATATGTTTTTAGGGCTCATAGAAACTGATCCCAATTTAGATCAATTATTTTTTCGTTGTATTTTCCTCCCCTCTTGCTTTTGTGGGTCTGATTGTTGTCATTGTTTCATGTCAGTGTGCTGCTGTATTTTTCTCTCCTGAACTATATGATAAAAGTGTGATGGTGAGCTGGTTTGTTGCTTTAATGGGGTTAGTACAATCAAATTGCAGAATGAAGGAGCTATTTAAACATGATTACTGTTGTTTCATAATCAGAATTAACCTGAGGTACATTAACTTTGAAAAGAAAAACTTAGCAACAGAAGATGTTCAACAAAAACCAGTAGATATTAATGGTTTCTTGCACAGGGTAGCTGTTTCTGTCTGAGGGAATCTTTTCATTAATCCCCATTTCTTCCCTGAAAATCCTGACTCTAGACTAGCTCCTGTCATAAACACAACTTTATCTTATGACTGTGTGAGCTTTCCTGTTACTGTCATAAGCTTCCCCTCTTCTGGTAAAGTATGTTACTTTGAGGAAATTGCTGTGCTTTTATTAAAGCTGAAGACCAAATTAATCACAGTAACTCAGTTACGTTTGTACTGTCACAATATAGGAAATTGCATTGCATAGACAAGGTCTTGTGTATACAAAATCTAATCTCTCTCTGGCACAAATGTCCCTGAAAATCCTAGACTAATACAGCAGTTCAGTCAGGAAGCCATATTCTGATGTAGCAGTTCAGATTTCTTATTTTTATGGAGCAGGACAAAGAACTTCGAGGCTAGCAAGACATACAGAACGACCTGGGGAGATGGAAATGAGAACTCGGCAGATCATGTGATATCCATGCAACCAAGAAGAATAAATCAGCAGCAGTTTCAGACTGCAGGAGGACCAAGTGGTGGATATATTACAAGGTTTGCTCCTTTACGTTAATCTCAAAAGCAGAAATCCTAAATTTACCAGTTGTCAGCTTCTTTAAGATGCATTTTGGGTGAAGTTGCTAAATAATAAGGTGGTTTTTAGTGCTGCTTGGAAGAATTGTTGCCACTTGGAGAGGATATGAGAGACACCTGCACTTTCAGTATTGTAGTGCTCATCTTAAACTTCCATTTGTTTCATATCAGTGCTATTATTAGTCTGTTTCTGGATGTGAGGACTGTTGAGCTTAGTGCTCAGTTATTGAGGAGTCTGTTAAAAATATCAAGGACTTTTACTGTCATAAAGTGTATTTGAGACAACCTCATGTCTTAAGCTTCCTCTAGTAGCTGTTACTTTAAATTCTAAGGCTATTTTTCTAATAGTGGCTAGCTTAGCACCTTTTTGGGGGGCTGCTTGCTTGGAATATGTGGGGTTTTAAAAGGGGAGAAACATCTGACAGGTAATGTATTTGAGCCAAGGTATAACTGATATTAAAGTAAATTTTGGGTAAGGAAAAGCAAGCTTTAGATTCCTAAAAACATTGTCTTTAATTGCTTGAACAGGATAACAAATGATGCCAGAGAAGATGAAATGGATGAAAATCTTGCTCAAGTGGGAAACATTCTTGGGAATTTGAAAAACATGGCTTTGGATATGGGCAATGAGATTGATGCCCAGAATAAACAAATAGACCGGATAAATGAAAAGGTAAGTGTCAAAGGTATTCTCTGCCTTCCGCTTAGAGGTTAGGTTGTAAGTGAGAAGTTATAAGGAATGGGCTTACTGCTGTATCTACATGTATCTGCAATAAGTATGCATCAAGATTATACCATTGTCTGGGTTGCAGTGATGTGAACAAGAGAGATATCTGGGTGTTTGGGTGTGTAGCTGAGAATTCAAAAGCTTCAGAGTGTCAGGAAACCTAAATATACAGCATAGGTCACTGCTTACTCTGAAAACAACTGAACTTCTAAACTTGATTGGATTGAAAGGGCAAACATACTGGAGGATTTTTTTGCTCACTGGGAATCTTGTACATGGCAGGGAATAGGTATTTTTGACAATAGCAAGATTCTTCTGGAATTCCTAAGAAGTCACTATAATCATTGAACATAAAATAAAACACAAGTGATTCACTGCCCTAATTCTCATTGGCAGGCTAATATTGGGACTGGTATAATAGCTTTTGTTGTGCAAAGGGACATGTTCTGCCCTCATCAGCATATGAAATAAGTCATAGCCAGTAACTTCTTTTTTTTTCCAAATGTTACTGCTTTAAAGACTAACTTCCCAGAACAGATGAATCCTCTATAAATATGTTGGGGTGTATGTATCTTATGAGGAAATTGGGCATATTTTAGAAATTCCCGTATTCTGAAATGAATAGAAGCTTTCACAGGCATCTCAGTCAAGAAAGGAAATGAAAGCTTTAATGAGTAGCGTATACAAAGGATTAAAAAAAGCAGAAGTGAACACCAGTTCTTGTAAAATCATGTCATTAAGACAAAACAGGAAGTTAAAGATACCATGAAATGCCCAGTAGGGTTAAAAATGAGAGGAATGGACTTTTCTCAAATACAGAGTTAGACTGACACAAATGCTGGTTGTATCTATGTCAGCATCTCAATTTTGTCTTGTCATTTTGGGGTTGTGGCACTAATAAGGCAATCCACATGATCTTACGGAGGATGCCTTAATTGTCTTCACTGTTCCCTGAAGCCACAGATCTGGTATGATTACCAAGTAAAAGTCAAACATTTTAAAGAACACTAGAAAATTTCATCAGTTTAAAATGAGGTATGAAATTCTTACAGCTTATCATGTGGACTGAAAACTGCCTGGTCAGATTAACTGCAAGTGGGAATTACTGTTTGCAGCAGCAGTGATTCTGGTAGTTTCAAGCACCTGTTTGGGCCTGACACTTTCATTTTTAGCGGTTTGAATAAATCTTGCTGATCAATCTTACTAACTTAACATTTTATAAACAAGGTAGAATTGCTTTACAAAGCAGCAATAAACTTGGAAATGTTATTCCTGGCTTTGAGACTGGCAACCTATCTCAGGATGTTTAAATTTACCCTTTTCTGCTGAGAACTGTTTTGAAATCTAGTGCACCGTGTGGAAGCCAAGTCAAAATGTTGAAGGTGAATGAATCTCCAAAGGACAGTATCATATAAAGAAACAAGAGTGGTATTAAGCTTAAAAGCATCAGCTCTATTCTGAAGTTACTTTTATTAAAGAAAAAAAAAGTAAAATTCCAACTCACCTGGGAAATACATAGGCTTGACTGGTAGCCTGCAATGTTATACAGGACTCCTAGTCTGAATAAACCCCTAATAAAAGGTTATGCTACTGGGTTTTTCGTAGGTCATCTAGTTTACAGAAGCTGCTCGTCTTCTGCCTACCATAGTGATTATACTCTGCATTGCAGAAGCTTTTGTCCGTTTGAATTCTTAAATGTTTTTGCAAGAAGTCTGCAGATGACTTGTGAATTTCTCTCTTTCAGGCTGATACAAACAGGGAACGCATTGAGCAAGCCAATGTCAGAGCCAAGAAACTAATTGACAATTAAAGCCTGCTGTCATTGTTAATGACACTGTCTCTCCAGCTGCAAGCCACCATATTCATGGATCTGTGAATCTTCTGTGAATCTTCTAATCTGAAATAAGAGGGGCTTGGTAAAATGAAGCAGAACCCTTTCTGTAGGGATTAATTGTCTTTTATTTTTTATATTGCTTCATGTAAACATGGCCTTGACTCCAAGAAAGCAGCCAACAACATAACTTCCTCCTACTCATCTGCCTTCCCTTTGTTTAAACTGCTCAGGGCTAAAGGTGTTACGGCTTTGAGAATCTTCTTGCATGTTTCTTATTTCTTTTTCCCCTGCACCCAAAATAGTCTTTTATTGAAGCTGAACAAGCAGAGTAACCTGAATTCACAGTTGTGGGAAGTTGGAGAGGGCACTTTGCACTGTTTGAAATACCTCATAAATTGAGTGTCTTCACTAAAATAGGGACTTGGTGAATATTGTCTGACTTGTATCTCTAGCACGCTAACGATAATTTTGCAGTCTAAACCACGTGATTGGTTTGGGGCTGAGTTTGTCAGTTACAGAATTAAAGAGGCCTACTGCTTAGTACTTGTGGGTCGAGGGCTTTAAAACACTCCGAACCACACGAACTTTAGTGTAAAGGTAACTGGAGGAATATACAGGTTTCCATTTCTTTACTGTAAATCAACATTGGTTTGGAGGCCATGCCTAGAAATCATGCTGCATTGTTCTCATATTTGTTGTGAGTATCTATACCTGCTCTAAACCCCGCGCACATATGAGTAGAACAAAATAAAACTATCTCCCTGAAGTATTTATTTGATGGAAAATTTTATGCCCCTGATCTAAAAGTTAACTTTAAGCGTTTGAATGATGCATCTTAACTGGAAGAAACTGAGCAGAAAAGCATGTGTCTTTCATGCTGTATCAGTCTATTTTGGCCAGTTTTCACTGGAGTTCAGTTTATGCCTTTCTCCAGTGCAAAATAATGACTGATCTGATGCAGTTTGCTCTCAGCAGTGACTTTGTACTGAAAATAGAGAAGCTTATTCTGAAATGTCTTTGTCACAAGTGAGGAGGAAGCAGTACCTATTTATGAACTGTATGCTAGTTCTAAATAAACTAGTTTTAAATAGATTCCTGACTGATTTATTATTGCAGACCGTGCGACTGGCAGTTGGAAATATTACATGTTCAAGTTGCTTGCAATTATAATGTTCCTATTGTGCTGCAGAATAGAGGAGTTTCTGACCAGGTGAGGTAAAGCTCTCTTCCTATGAAGAAAAATGGTTTGATTTTACTGTAATTTAATCAGTTTTATTTCCAGGATTTTCTTGAAAAATTTTGGCAAATAAATTGCAAGTGATCTGTATAATTTTAACTCCACCCAGCAATAATGCCTGTCTTAAAGGTGAAAATAGTGCTTTGGACTAACCTGTGATACTTAATGTTGAATGGCAGAAGTCTTCAAACCAAATTGATTGGAGGAATAACGAAAACAATTTCATTATCAGGTGGGGTTTTTTTTGGAAACATAGCCCACAAGTATCCTGTAACCATTGATAATGAATCCCAGAGTTATTGAGATGACACTAATTGCTGAAATGCAGTGTTTTTTTTAATTCATAGTAGAAATACCATCAGGATTACTGGTATATTCTCAGTTTGTTCAACAGGACAACTTGGTATCTAAGGGAAAAAAACCGCACACAAAAAACCCCAACAAAAGAAGAAAAGTAACAAAATATACACCCCCTCACTCTCAAAAAAAAAAATCTATCCAAAGGATGGAGCCGCTGCATGTAATAAATAGGCCAGTGGTAGACTTTATGTGAATAAGATGAAGTCATTTTTAGGGGACTGTGGATATTTCAGTAGTGTGTGTTGGCTTCTGTCTGGCTTCCAGCAATTGTTTGGAAGATAATGAATTTTAAAAACTCATTATCTACCACTTTGTAACTGAAGATTTATGTGCTTAAAAATACAAGTAGAGAAGAAGTACTTTTAAGAACATCACATAGTAAATTTCTAACAACCACTTGCATGGGAAAGCACAAGACATTTGTATGCTTCTTTCCCCCCCGCCCCCCTTCTTAAAAACTTCGGGTTAACTGAAGGGATATTTGCTGCTGGTTGTGAAAGGAAACTATACTTTATTGAACTGATTGTCCCCTGGAACAGGAGACTAAAGGGACTAACTTACTCTGCTACAACAGTGCAAACCTGCTCTGGAGCATGTGGACTCCAAACATTGGAATGTTTTTCTCCTTTGCCATTGAAAGTCCATGTTCTTAACTACCCTGAGCAGTAACAAGTTAGCATGTTGGCTGAGAGAATGCTGTGACTGATATATCAGAACCACAATATTGCAATGAATACCACACAAGTAACTTCTGAGGCTCTAATCTTGAGTATTAGTGGAATGTCAGCACTATTTGCTGATGCAGCAAGAGTCAAATCCATGAGGGAGTTGGTAACTTTATGTTAGCGAATGACACAGACTGCTTCTTGGATTGTCTTGCTGTTGTCTGTAGAATAGATGCTTAATTTCCATTTCTGTGGGATGGAATCAACACTTGTACATCTTTGTATTTCTGAATGCTAGTAAGAATGAAGGTTTACATTTTCTGCTTTTGATTGTTAAACTATATATTGTGCACAAAAAATACATACTTTTATAAGTGAATGTGTTTTAAAATTATTTTCTCTTAGAAATGGCTTTTAGTTTCTTGTCCTTGAAAAACTTGACAGAACTAGTTGCTACTATGTAAATAGGAAGTTTCCCTTCTATTTTTAGTTCACAGCAATCCTAATGCTAACAAAGGAATGGGTGTGGTTGGGAAGAGAGGACTGTTATGATCTTTAACACTCTGGGTTTCATCCATGCATAAAAAACATCATCTAACTTCAAACCATGAAATGTGTCCATCTCTCTGAAAGACACTGATTTGACATGGGACTGGACATCAGGATGATAAAAGAATTCTGTAAAACGCCTTTAACTTTCCAGTTAAGTATTGGAAAGAGATGCCTGGCAAATAACTAGTTAAATCCAGTGATTCAACCTCCTGCCAATGCAGTCTCTCTTGTGAGGAGATTTAAATTGTATTTTCCCTGATAGTGGGGCCTCATTCCCTGAAAGCTCTTGCTGGGGGAGAGGGCAGGGGCAAAATACAGACTTGCGTTGATGTGCATCAGTGTTGAGCTGGAAGAGAGCATAGTGTACCCAGGAATGGCTTGGAAGAAGTACTTCTCATATACTGTATTTCTACCAGTAACTAGTGGCAAAAAAACCTTACTGAAAAATGTGGCTATTCTGAGCATGGAGCATATGTTCCATGGGCACGCTTAAATGATGATAATGGGTAAATTCAAGCTAGCCTACTCCTTGATGAAAGATGAATTAAGCCTCTGAACACAGGGGTAGCTATGCATGAACTGCAGCATGTGCTGCTTGTGCAGCATGTTGCAGAACCTTCCTCTGTGAAGGCTGTATGGTGACACAGTTCACTGTTTACATAATGCAGTGACTTGCAGTTGCTAATTCACCTTTGCTGCACTTCAAACAGCAATGCACTACCTAAATATTGATGGAATAAATGGATGAAAAGTGTGTCTTGCTGCAATGGGAAACTGGAGAGCAAATTACAGAGGTCTGAAATAAAATACATGAGTGGTATTAAGTAGGGTAACGTTTTCTACTTCAGGAGTTGCAAATCTAAAAAGCTAAGAAATCTAAAAGGTATTGGCCAGCTTTTTTTTCCCTCTTGAAGCAGAAGTAGTCTTCCTCTGTTCTTGAACAAATTTGGTTAGCACCATTCAGTATTTTTCATAGTTTTCTCACCTCTGCTTGACAGGTAGCTGTCATAAATCCAAGGTAGCAAAGGAGCCTCATAATGACTAAGTAAAAGGTTTCTAAATGTACTAGTGATCAGGTAAGAGAAATGTTGACTTACTTTCTCAAATACTTCCAAAAGCAGGAAAGGCTTTGTTTGAGGAATTCTTGGTTTGTTTTATAGCAGTGCTAACTGCATCATTTTTAAACACTCTGATCTAAACTCTTTTCTTACATGTCTTGAAGTAGACAAATCCAGATTAAAAAATGTTAAATGAGAGAAGCAGCATGTTTGAGCGCAGATATTTCCAGTTAAAACAAAACAAAAATGACCAGAGCACAAAACTGCCAAGTGGATGCACACTGATGATAGAATGCTTCTTTGTAGTTGTCAGATACGGGGAATGCAAAGGGGAAATCTGCCGAGGGGCTTTCTTCTGTGATATCTCATGCATGGCAAATCTCTAGGAGAAAAACTAGTATTTCAAGTAGGATTTAGGTATCAAGTGGAAGGAGGTAAAATTCAAAACAAGCCTGGGGCTTTAACTACTCACTGCTGGGTTTGCACATCATAATCTGTGGAGTCTTATAGTACAAAGCTGAATACTTCTGCCTATACAGGGCCTTGCATTATGGTAACATACAGCTGCATTCTTAAAGCACTTCCCTTACAAAACTAGGTAGCCTCGTAACCATTGTCTGCTGTCAGCTACTTGCAGGAAGCTAGTAGTTCTTCCATAAATTAGCATATGGAATGGGGGTTCCTAAGTAAAGCTGGTTCTGTGTATGATGGTGGATCACATCCATCACCTGAAGGACGATGCTCCTTCAAACAGTATTACAAGAGGTATTACTATGTAAGAATTGAAATTAGACAGCAACAGGGGCAAGCAACTAGATATATCTTCTGAGCATCATATAAAAGAACCACTTATTGCTAATCTTAATTATAGTTGTTACACAGAGCAAATACAATTGGCAGAGAGGTCAGTTAATTTTTCTTTACAGGAGACGGCATGAGACACTGAGCACATTAATGATTACACCAGCAGCTTGAAGGAGGTTGGTGTCCAAATGCCTTTCTTACCTCATGTAGGAAAGTTTAAGTAAAGAACTGTAGTTACGTAAGAAAGACAATCTCATTAGGAATAGATGCATCTGTTCTTATCTTGCCAAGAAGTGTACTTAGTAGAGCTCTTACTTCATTGTCCTGATTGTGCAGTGTATACTAACTGAATTGTCACAGTGTTGACATACACAACGAAGTGTTGACATACTCAAATCGTCTGCCTTCTCAAAGCAGTTGAAGTACAGCTGTTCCCAACAACTGATGGAACCAAGCACCTAAGTGACAGCTTTCAGTGATAACTTGGTACTACTTGTTAAAGTGACAACAGCAGCAGTTACACCAAATAAACATGAACTGATTTTTTGAAAATCATTTACTAAAATAATCAAGTACAATTTTCTTTTCAGTATAAGTTACATAATTGCATACATTTTTAGCTCTTTCTAGGTGCTTTTGGTAATAAGGCAGCAGCAGTAGGCTGACAATTAAACCTTTTAGCATTGCTTTTTAGACAAGGAGTCAGTGCAAGGGTGTTGTATTTTCTAGCAATCTACATTTTTACTGAATATGCTGCAGATGAACCTAATTTTTATTTGATACAGCTTAAGCAGAAGTGGACTGTAGTGCAATTCCTGCTTATGGGAAAAGAAAGCCTGTACAGTAAAATATGAATGAAGGATGCTCAAACCATGATTTTTTTCACCAGAAGCAGTTAATAGAACACTTAGCCACAACTATTTGTGCTTCATAAAAAAAACTTACACAGCTTATAAACTAAAACCTCAGCTGTAAAAGTTCTTCACTGTAGAATAGTGCTTACTGCAAGACATACAGTGTTTCAGATCTGCTTTGGTGGTAGAACTTCCATGTGCTATTATGGAAAAATGTTTCCAGAAGAAATAATCCTCTTACAGATCAACAGCCAGCTCATTCCCCTTTCTCTGTGAAAGAACAAGCCCTGACAAAGGAGAACATGTAGTGTGGTAAAAGCTAAACTGGCACAAAAAACCCAAAACTGGCCCCTGGGCAGGTTCCTCAGTTCAATACCCATGTTCTCTAGTTCAAGTTTATTCAATGTGGCCTTAACAGACCATATGAGACTACTAGAGGAGGAGTACTCTCCATCAGCCTTGGTTTAAGTTAGTGAAGCAGGTGCTTCAGACACTAACTCTTCTACTGGCAATACACAGGGTCTGAATAATGATCACGCAAACTTCTTCTTTGTAGCTGTAAATCGTTCCATGTACTACAAAGAAAACAAACAAAGATTCGGAAGTTAATACAAGATTCGCTACTATTGAAAGCAGCTAAGCTGCTGCTCTGAGACTCAAAAGCACTCTGCGTCAAAAGCATCTTTTCATTTCCCAGATACTGCAGAGCTTTAGAGCTCCAAAACATTAGAGATCTCATCTCAAACAAACAAAAAAACTCCCAAAGTTTCTGCCATTTGCTATAATTAAGATTAATGTTCCAGAAAGCAAGTCTTCACAGAGCTGAACGGTCAAATCTTAAGTGTTAAGGATGAGCAGTTAAGAATACTGCATAATAAGATGCATCCATTAGTTTTTGTCCTATTAAGGTGAAGATGACATGCCTGTCATCACCAGTGACCCTTCAATAGATACTGATGAAAGAACATTGATCCTGAATCCTATGAGGAAGTTAATCTTTGAAGAACTCTAGAAACTCTTTTCTGAGGTTAGTTACAAATCCAGTACCAGGGACAATACCAACAGACTGTGCTGTTAGTCACCAGCATGAATGCTTAGTACTCTGAGGAGGTACTGAGTAAGAACTTCACTAGAAGCTTCTTTAAAAAAAACCACACACAAGAAGACACAAACCTTGTCATAACCTTCCAGTTCTCTGAGTTTCTTGATTTCAAAGAGGTTGCCTTCTACTGCAAGCAGTGAGATCTGGGAATCACTGAGGATACTCTGAGGAAGCATGCTGAGTTCTAGACAGTTTTCTTCTAAACGCAACACTTTGAGGCGGGGACAGTGGGAGATTTGTACTGAGATCTGGGAAATCTGTAGAAAGAAAAGAGAAATGGGATTAAAATGTTAACAGTCCATGATTACTTTAAGTGATTTGTTTCAGGCTAATGTGGAACAATTACCATGTAAATATAAACTACATTAACAGTAACTACCTGACAACAATATGTAAGCAACCATAATAATGATCAAAAGTCCAAGTAACTTTTTGTTATTCCATGATGACAGGGAAACTACACATTTATCAGATTCCTGCTCAAGAACTGTTCAAATAATTCTCTGTATGACTAAATTCAGGATTTATCAGTTAGTTAAATCAGGCAGTGGGATGTACCAGTACATAAATTCTAGTTGTGATCCCTCATTTCTGTTGTATAACAGGGAGGTCTTTTAGCTATAAAGTTGTGATGGTCCGAGTTTATGCTCCTTGGACGTACTAAGTCCAAGATAAACCACGTCCATAATATCTCTGTTACCAGACCTGATTCTGATTCAAATTGAGTTCAATAGCCTGCAATTCTCCCACGCTGTCGGGCACGTTTTGGATCTGGTTTTTGGAAAGATCTACCACATCCAAGTGGCGAAGACCACAGAGTTGCGTAGGCACAGTCCGAAGCTGGTTTCCAGAAAGGCTCAGGGTTTTGAGAGCTGCAAGCTGTCCAAATGCAGCCGGCAGCTGCCTCAAGTGATTGCCATTCAAGTGTAGTGTTTCCAGTTTTTTCAGTTTACACAGCTCCTCAGGTAAAGCAGCTAAAAATAAATGACAGAACAAAGAGATGACCTAAACAAAGAGCAGTAAACGTCCTTACCCTTTTAATTCAAGTAAGTTTCTGCATGTAAAACAGTGCTATATTACAGTAATTTCTCACAGGATTCATTTTCCAATGAAGGCACAGATCCCTGCAAAGAAAGTTAGGTCCACTGACAACACATGGTTTTTAACCATCTTCCATAAGTATCTTTAAAATAACCTGCAGACACGGCAGACCTTCAAATCAGAGGCTGAAAACACTACTATCAAAAGAGTTTAGACTATCAGTTGTACTCCTTACCAACCACTTTGCCGATGTATTCTATGACACTTGAAGTCCCACACAATTCACAGCTACAGGTTTGCTGTAGCTTTTTAAAGGTATTACTCAAAAGTAAGTTCTCAGATAATTCATCCTGTATCATACCAGCACATAAGCCTCACCAGGTAAGCTCTGCTGGCATTCATGCATCCCTCATTCTACCTACACACATGTATAACCTGTAGCACTTCTGAGTTGCACTAGAGTCAGAAGTTTGTAAACGTGGTTTTCAGAAAGGCAGATAATACACAATTAACACACAAAAAAGTTAGTTTCTTCACCTCATCTAACTTTTCCAAAAAGCTGTACTTTTGTCCAACAGAAACAGTAACAGCCACTGAATGGCCAGCAACATTTTCTACAGGTGCTCTTTTTTACCTGTTCTCTGTGCAAGTACTGAACCATTCGACACTTAAAATTTCAGATCAGCAAGTCACAGCACAGAAACGTTATGGTTTTAAGTACTTACATGTCATTGCAAAACTGATAATACAACTAAGTTGGCAACTAGTTTTGAAGAATTTACGGCTCTGGGCTTTTTTCTCCTGTACATGATTCCCAAAGATTTCAGTTTAGGTGACTAAACTCCCCATTTACATCCTGAGAGAGTTAAATCATTAAATTTAGTTTCTCATCAGAGAAATCAGGTTATTTTTTTTTTTAAATCTATGGAGATATTCATAAGCAGACATACTCAGTTTGTTGTTGTTTAGAGCAAGGCTCTTCAACAAGGAAAATTTTCCAATGAGTGGCGGCAAGAGCTCTATTTTGTTGTTCGACAAGTCTATTGTCCTTAAGTTGCTTGTAAGCTTCTGCAGATCTTCAGGAAACTATGGGGGAGAAAAACAATACAGTATTTAATTAGCTGCTACAGCTTTGAATGTTCAAGTTACACAGCTTAAACATATATCACAATGCTCAATCACCACAGTGTGCAACTAAGCTGGCAAATTTGCTTAATAGGTGTTTTTAAATGTATTTTTTTCATCTGAGGATGGGAAAAGGGATATAAAGGAGACAGTCTGACATCGAGGAAGTAGATTTTAATCCAAAGAATTTAAATTTAAAAGGCAGAAGGAAGTGTACCATGACTTGAGCTTGGTTCTATTTTAGTCCTCGTGTGTGGTTCTCTGAAACGTGCCTGTCATTTAAAAATATTCTACAGCTAGTTACAACTCTATAGTTTAGCACATTGTGGAATTTTACTTTTGCTTTCCTTTTAAAATAATTATGTAAACCATTTTCCTTATTTACATCCCATACCACTTTAATCTGCACTTGGCACTGAGCTGAAAAAAAGAAAAACCTGACAATCACCATTGATGAATCCTGGTCCACAGGCCAGTGATTTTGATTCTCTTAGGTTTGGCAGAGCAAAAGGGAAGAGAGAAGGTAGGACAGTGGAAAAAGATACTTTAGAAGTCTTGGAAAATTAGTGCAATATAGAGTTATTTTGGCTATCCAGTGAATGGTTACTTGACTTATGATTCCAGGACATTCTGTGTTTTTCCTGCAGTCGAGTCAAAGTCAAGACAATTTCCGATATAATAAACTTCAGGAAGCTTGCAGCCCAGTGAACAGCCTGTACAGACTAGTCATATGACTGCAGTTAAACACAGCACAAGCATCTAAACGTGACAAACTTGTGCAGTATCTTTCTAGGCAACAATATGGTTATAAAATTTACAGGTTTTCCCCTCAAGTTTACAGCCTTTCTTTAAAACAGCGCAACATAATAACTAGTACTTCTTGAACATATATGCACTCTAAAGCATAAGCTCACAAGCATGCGAGTGCCCTGCTAAATAAATCCTCAATCAGAAGACAGTAAAAACAAAAAATCAGGCAAAAAGGAAAAAAAAAGCAAATTCATGACATAATTTTATCCATCACTATTTATAAGAAATACATATATGCAGCGCATCATGACAAAGAGGTGGGAATTCCTCTCCAAAAGCATCAGTCATGCACACAAACCAGCCACGTTTCCCCTACAGATACATTACCTCTGTAAGCCCCTTTCCAGTTAGCTGAAACACACCAGTTTTCTGTGCTGTCTCCAGGTGGGCTTTTAATGCACTATTCCCCATCCTAACAGTTGTCTGTCAAGCGTGCTGAGTATGAGTGACAGTCTCAGGCGGTTCCTCTCAGTTATTCTGCACTACAGAACAGGAATCCAATGTCTTTGTGATAAAGCAAATATAAAAAGTCATATTATGTGCACTGTCTTTGACACTACAGGTATTTCAACACAATGAACCCCGTCACTGCTGCGATTTCATCTTCCTCATAACTAAAACCTAGAACTCAAAAGATTCACCTAGCTTAAGGTGCTTTCACTGTAGCAGTTTGAATACTGAAATGATACAAGTATAGTTAAAACTAAGTGGGGAAATTGCATCCTCTCCCTGTTTTGCCTCTTTTAGGGCCCAGTAGTCTAAGGAGATTCTCCACGAAGACTGGCTGTGATTTTAATGGCCTCTATCAGCACTGACCTGCTGTCAATACTCCAGTTTTCTTTTGTCAACATTTGCTTCACGTAGACACCCGACTCCTTTGCTGCGACTCTAGATGCAGACATCCATCAAGACATCCATCTCCCGTAACCCCAGCAGG